AATCAACTTTTGTAAGAGAGTATAATGATCAACTGTGTCAAACGCTTTACGAAAATCAATCTATACAGCACCAGTTACTTGACCTTTGTTCAAAGCAGCACGTATTTGTTTAGTGAATAAAATTAATTAAACCTGTTTATTGGTAACATTCTGTGGTAGCAGTAGGTAATTGCTGTTACGCGTGGTTCTTTAATTTGAGGAAATTGGTACTGGAAAGTCCTTGAAAGGTTCTTGAATTTAATGTTGACCAAGGAGTGGGAACCCTGATTTCAGTTTCAGAGTGTGTAATTTACCATGTCGCCATGTTTTATTTGGGTGCTTTCCTCCCCTGCAGGTACAGCTCTCTGAGATCCATGATTCTACACCAGCTGGAAGGCAGGGCTCACTCCAGTGACAGAGTTTGATTTTTTTTTTTTATGTGTGAATGAAAGGAAGGGAAGGGTGGATCACCAATGATCAGTGATTTTCTGTGGGAACATTTCCCAACACTGTAATGAATGTAGAGTTGAACAAGTGCTTCTATTTGATACGTAATTTTTAGATCTTCATATTTCACCACTTTGTATGATCACCTTTACTTATTATTCTTGCTGTAATATCAGGTTTTTTATCTATTGATATAAAAACATTTTGTATAAAATGAGCAATGTATATATTATTTATTCAAGATTTGTTGTAATGACTTGAACCTTTAAATGCAATAAATCAGTTCTAGTGTTTGTTGTGTGCTCTCTGCATGTCTACACTGCCAAATTCTCACATCAGAATGTTTTCATTGTTTCCTTTACTTCCATTAGAACACAGATTTGCTATGTGTGTGTGGTGTGTTATGATTACACAATGGAGGTATCCTGAGAAAGGAGGCCACTTCCTGTCTCTCACAGTTTCAAATCTATGGAAAGTTTTATGACTTCATAGGGGTGATCGGTGTTCTTATTTGATTATTCTGATGGTAATGAGAACACACTCATACAAAGACACAACATTCACAAACGACGTAAAAGTATGTTCCTTGGCAAAGGGACCAGAATGCAAAAAACTTTGAGGAGAAAAAAAAAACATTTAAGAAAAATAACAATACCGACTTTGTTTGCTGAAAAGAATACTCATTCCAGGTTGAAAATAAATTTTATTAGCTTAAACCAATGTTTTGACAAGRAAGATTAAAGAGTTTTTTTTTTAAATGAGGTGCCAGAAAAAAAAAATGCACAGTTTTCCTAAAGAAAAGAGCTGTTTTTCCTATCCGCTCCACAAGATGGCAGTAGTGCACTAATATAAAAGCAAAGCCATGTGGTCACGTGATCCACAAAGCGGCTGGATCCCGGAAGTAACTGCATGTGTAAACAGTAAGGGATTTATGCACAAAAACGGCATCACTTTACATTATTTATATGTGAAGATTTGTAACAATGTAGGAAAGTGACCAGTCATTGTTATTTGGTAATTATTTGTTAGTGTTATTTGTTTTAATAATTGTGAATCTGCGTAATCCGTAATCTGCGACTTTTTTTCAGCAAAGACAGAGTTGGACAGAATATGACACTAACAGACATAAATGGCTACGTTTATTTTAATTGGCTCCATTATTACACTTTTCTGTATTTCTGCAAACAAGTCGAATTAAAGTAGCCTCTGATTTTAAAGTCATACACGCATTTATTGGATTCACATTCAAAATCACTTAAAAATATTGTAAAATGTACAGAAAACACATTTCAGCTTGACAAAATAATCACAACTTTTTTTTTTTAAATCAGGCATTAAACTGCACTTCATGACATTTTTTGTGTCACGGATATTTTAGCCTTTTTTTTGGTATGTTTACATTTTTTCAGCAACTGGTTGCACTTTATATTCTGTTCCTTTTTACTTACAGCACTTTAATCCTGTTCACTTATGACTGTAATTACTGGACAGTAGAGCAAAGCTTTATCTACACTTTATAGCTCATAAAACTCCCGAGCTTTAAAAAGACAAGCTGAACAGTGCTCTAGAAGCAAGAAGGTTTAGAAGAGAAGACTGCACTAAAAGCGAAGCAGCAATGGCTCAAAACGTTGAAGCAAAAGTAGTGATAGTAGGCAGTGGGATATCAGGAATAGCTGCGGCACACAAGCTTGTTAAAGCTGGATTTCAGAATGTGAGGATACTGGAAGCGACTTCAAGAAGTGGAGGACGAATTAAAACAGACAAACTGGGTGAGCACAATTCATTTTGCTGGTTATCAGTAGTTTTAATGAAACAAAACTGGGATAATCAAACATGATTTATTACCTAATCAGGAGATGTTGTGCCATGAAAAGTGTGGATTTAAAAGTCTGTCTTTGTTCAAAAATCCTTCAGTTAAAACTTGATAACGATCAATAAAATCCTTAATGTAGAATTTTAATAAAGTACTTGTCRTGTCACTAAAAACAAACAGAAACTGAGAATCAACCAAGCCAATTTAAATAATGTGTTTTGTCTATAGGCAATACTATGATAGAGATAGGTGCAGCTTTTATCCACGGTCCATCTCAGAAGAACCCTGTGTTTTGTTTGGCCCGTGACTTTAACCTCTTGGATCCTAAAGCCCTGACCCCTGAGAACCAGGCTGCACAAGTTGATGAATACCCTCCTCAGGTTCCRAACTGGTTCAGTAGTTCAGGTGACCCAAAATCACTTTTAATTTAACTGTTTTTTTAGTGACAAACATATCGTTTCTGGTACTTTTGCCTTTTCATGTGCAGAAAAGGGTTATTTTGTTCAATATTATTATTATCAGGTGAGAAGCTGGATCCTGAGCGTATGGAACCTGCTATGGTGTTGTTTCATGAGCTCATAGATAACACTCCCCAGTCGAAAGTTTACAAAAAACGATCCTGGCACAGTGTTGGTGATTTCATAAGATCAGAGGTATGTTTTATTTGTCCGGGACTAAGAAGATTCGTCTGTTCTTATTTATTACCTAAACAGAAGGAAGGGGAAATGATTGTTTTGTGCTTGCTTGTTTTTATGTAGATACGAAGGCGAGCAGCAAAGAGGTGGAAAGGTAAAGATAAGAACACCAGACGGCTGTTGCTGGGGGCCGTTAACACCATGCTGAAGGAGGAGTGCTGTGCAAGTGCAACACCTTCAATGGATGCATTAGACTTGGGTGGATTTTCTCTGTACCAGCATATAAAAGGGATAGACTGCACCTTCCCAAGGTTTGCATGTCTTTAGCCTTAAAATAGCATAAAACAGCATTAAATAGTTCAACTCACCATTTTTTTTTCTTTATTCATGTGGGGCTATTAAGTGTTTTCTCCCTGTTTTTTACCATTCTTTGTTGTGTACAAACTATTAGTTTCATCTTTAGCTGTATTCACTGTTGTTCTCTTTGGGCGCACTCTAATTATTACTTTATAAAATCAGTCATTTTTCCAGTATGTTTTCCTGTTTTATTCAATGGAAGCATGAGGGCAGTAGACTAAATTTCCAACACGATTGTCACCTCTATACCAATATTAGCAGATATAGAGTCACATAACTGCCATAAGCTGAAATATCCAAAGTCATTTTTGATGTTTAAGTCCATCAGAAGGTATTGAATGTGGAGTTTAGAGGCTTACAGTGTAATCTTTTTTTTTTCAGTGGTTTTGAGGGTTTAATCGACAACTTGATGTCAGAGCTCCCCGCTGATATTGTGACCTACAATCGTCCTGTGCYCTGTGTTCACTGGAACAACAGCGAAAGCGGAGTTAATCCTGTGACCGTTCTTTGTGACGATGGGGAGAAGATTCCTGCTGATCATGTTATTGTCACCGTGTCTTTAGGTAGACTTCTATTAACACATACATTGAAAAGCTTTTCCTTTTGAATCTAAGCTTGTTCAAGTATTAAGATTGTTCTTATTATTTTTATTTTACCAGGTTACCTGAAGAAGCACCACTCAACCCTATTCTCGCCTCCTCTTCCACCTCAGAAGTTGCAGTCCATTGACAAACTGGGCTTTGGGACATGTGATAAAATCCATGTTGAGTTTGAGTCTCCATGGTGGGATGCTGACTGCGAGATCATCTATCTGGTGTGGGATGATGAGGTCTGTAGAGCTTTTGGATAAAGATTACTTTAACTTAAAGTGCCTGTGACGTCAAATTTTTGTAACATGTATGAATGCATTTTTAGAAAGAGGACATGGATAAAATATTGCAAAAAATTTTTCATATCGCTGAGATGAACAGTTGTTGGGATATTTGCCTGTGAAGTAACAGGAAGTGATGTCAAAGGGGAATGTCTGCATGTGAACAGAGCGTTGCTACAACAGCTGATAACAGACTGTAGAATAGATTCTGATGTTTCTTAAGATTATTTTGAGTCACTATCAGAGATGAACAAGAGTCAGATTTCAAAATATATTATTTCAATAAACAAAGACCAGAGAGTTTTCTTTGTTACAGAGTTCCCCTTTGATGTCACTTCCTGTTTCACTTTGGCTGAGCCAAGTTCAAAAGAAAATATGCCAGTTATGAGACAAAATGAGTAAAATTGTTTGTATTGTTCCAACTTTCTTAAATATAAAGATGTTTTCTTTGACTTTTTGTATTTGAAGAATATGCATGTCACAGGCACTTTAAAGGAGTAGTTCAAATAGTTTGAAGTTGGGTTCTGTTGAGAGGTATTAAACTATGTAGTGATTTATACTACACCTTCTTATAATAAATATTATAAGGAAATTCACAGGTTCTTCTTATTTTTGGTAATATCTTCTTTATAGAAAATGAATGGACAAAACACACAATAAGATGAGCGTACTCAGTGAGTTTAAGATGATCTAAAATAAACAAGATAATTATTTATTTACAGAATCAAATAAATTACTAATGTACACCTTATTGTGAGATTAATTTCCTATAAAAAGTTTAACAACAAWTTTTGAGGTTTAGATGTTAATAAATCATTTGTTTGTGGCACTTTTTCTTAAGTTTTGGCAGGGCAGTTTAAGAGGAAAGAATGGAGGAGGAAGAGAAGTTAGTTTTAACTTTAACCCTTAAAGAATGTGGATTTTAACCAGAAAGGCAGACGTTTCTCAACGAATTCAGCCAGACACAGGTACGCTCAGTAACGGTCAGCCATTACCTTGACCGGGGTTAGTTTCACCCACCACGGCTCAAGTCTGAGGAAAGATCGTCCAACTGGTGAAGAACTTTTCAATTAAATTCAATTAAATATTTTTTATTAATTTCATTAAAAAATACTATATACAATAATAAAAAATAAACCCAAACCAAAAAATATATACAAATCAAAATAAAATGAAAGGTAGCAGAAGAAGAATAAATCTTATTTTGTATGTCCCTTTTCGACCCAGAATATATTCAAACGAAACACAATTTACAAAACAATACTAAATAATATTAAAGGGGCAATATTATGTGTTTCTCAGGCATATATTTAAATACTATACCATAATAAAGTATCTATGTCACCTTTAGCTGTTATTAAAATGCTGTTTTTATGTTTAAATGAAAATAAACATCTTCTCATCACTTCCTCGTCTAAACGCCTTGAAATTGGCCTCTGTCTCTTTAAGAGCCACCTTCTGCTTCTGTTCAGTCCCGTTTGGGGGGGGGAGGGGGTCGCACTTTTCATATATCTTCAAAAAACTTTGATTTATCTGTCTCTTAAATATATACAGATCTAGCATTTTTAAGATCATCTTCCAGACCATTCCATAATTCTATACCTTGGATTAAAGTACATCTTTCTTTCAAGCAAGTACGAAAATATGGCTTCACAAATATTTCCATCCCCTTTGGATAATAACAACGGTCTCTCTTAACAAAGTTTACCTGAATGTTGGAAGGTAATATGTTTCTGTGAGCCTTMTACATWAACAGTAAAATATTGTAGTCAATCAAATCATAGAATTTCAAAAACTTCTCAGAACCTCAACCAGTTGGACACTTTCCAGGTGRGTTTARGTTACTCCTTCAGTGTCTTCTGGGCTGCTTTCACTCGCAGATCAGAGACGAGGCYCTTCTCTGTATCCTTCTCAAAAATAGAATACTTCCACTCAGAAGTTTCAAAACAAAAGTTTCTCTGTGAGTAACTTTGGTAAGCTCAAAATAGACGAGACCAAGTGATGGTCTGGTCTAGGCAAAGAGGTTCTCCCTTTGACTCAATAGGTTAAACCTCACAGCCAGGCTGTTCTTTTCCTCGGAGAGCCAGCTGCYTCCTRGTGAAGCATGAGAGCATTCGCTTTCCAACTCAGCTCAACAGACTGTTAGTTTAAAGATGTTAGTTTAAAAGAAAGGAAGTGTTATTGAAGCACTGCCAGGTGTTGTTTGTCTTTTAAAAAATTGTTGACGTCTGCACAGTCGTACAGCTCGTTCTGACCTGCTCTTTGCACTTTAAAGAACACTTCAAGAATGATTTACTGAAAACTTAAAAATGAATTATTTCATATAAAACATTCATTATAATTGATTTTATTTGATTTGATTTATTGATTCAACAGGAAAAGATTATTAAAAATCAAGCCTGACTCAGCATAATTGCTGTTTTACAGCAGGTTCCTGTTCTGCAGCACATAAAACACTCAGAAATACAGCATCACAATCACATCATTATACACCATAGACACAAAGACAAAAAAGCATAACAAATTTCAGGAAGGCAGCATTTGCAAAATAGGACATCTAAATATGAGCACAACAAAAAGTGTCCAGCAGATGGCTGACAAGATTCTTCTTAAAGGGCTGTAGTTTTGAAATGGACTTTATGTTTTGAGGAATGTCATTCCATGCTTTAGTATAAACATAGAAGAAAGACCTCTGGCCGTAACAGTTTTTAAAAGMTGGTAATATCAGTTGTCCTTTTGTAACAGATCTAGTTGAATGACCACTTCCAGAATTTGATTTGGGCAGCAATGCACAGAGTTCCATAATTCGCACCTTGGAAGATCTGAAAATATAAATTAATACCACTATACAAAACATAATTCTGAAAAGTCAAGGCATCAGACAATGAAAGAACTGTACAGTGATGAGTCCAACCAGGAAGTTTTTTATGAATTTTGTAGGCCCTGTTGTAGAGCCTAACTATGGGTTCTAAGATTTCATTTGTTGTAAGAGACCTAACAGGTAAACAGTACGACATGGTTGAGAGTATAATGGCATGAAGATAGATATTTGAAACAGAAGATGTCAGATTGGATCTAATTTTTGAATAAACATATAATTTCTGTTTCAACTTAGTGMTTAAGACTTGTACATGATCACGATAAGTCAAATGAGAATCCAAAGTAATTCCAAGATATTTGTAGGTAGTGACAATATCAAGGGGTTTGTTTAACAAATAGTTGATTTGTTATATTGAAATGTCTCCTGGGTGAGGAAAAATACATGCACACAGTTTTTTTAAATTAATTGACAAAAGATTATCTTGAAGCCAACCATGAAATGTCTGAAGATCTGCTTGTAACTGACTATTAATAGATTCAATATTGAAATCAGACAAAAAAAAAAAAAGAACAGTATCATCAGCATACATTAAAATATTTGAATACTTCATTATTTTTGATGAAATGATGAATCAATGGTAAAAAAGTGTTGACATGCATTTTCAAGATATCCATATTTATCTTATATTTGTCAAACGCATGTGAGCCATTTAGAGATTGGAGTGTATTCAAAACATCACTGTGAAATTTCAGAAAATGAAAATTGCTTTGAAGTGTCAGGATATTTAAATAACTTTAAACTATTAGCTTATTAYCCATAATGATTCAGATAAAAATAATTATAAAATGTTTAATAATAAAGCTTAACCATAATGCAAAATTTAGTTAAGTAAAGTATTTAAACTTAAAAATCTATAATCAATTACTGTGGTTTCACAGTTAAAGTTCAAGCAGTGATTTACATCAAAGCACAGTAAAGCATCATAATAACATTCTTTTTGTGTTTTCTTTTTCATACATTGTTAAAATTATGAATAAAAGAAGTTTATTCAGTTTATCTGATTAATAAAAAGAAAATGTCTCTTTACTGTTTAAGAAAACCTGTTATGACTTTAACTTGAACAGAGTTCTGTCTCTTTAAAGGAAGCCTTCTYAGACCAAGGTCAAAGACAGGTGGAACTGTTTATTCCACCCCAGGTGACCACTACAACTATTAAAGGAGAAAAATCAGTCAAAATCCTATTTTTTTAGCCATTAAATACATTTTGTTTTGTGCTATGTGAAGCACCTCGTTTTAATTAAAGAGACAGCGTCAAAACGAGACACACCTCGGAAAAGGGGTGAAAGAGGGGCTTGTGGAGTTACAATAAGGAGCAATTAAAACCAAAGCATTGACGTTTTGCTTTTTATAAACCTAAATTGAATGATTTAAATGTGAAAAAGAAAGATTTAAAAGAACGATATGTCTGCTAATACATTACCTGTTTAATACATTTACATTTATTTGTCATAAAGTGTATTTTTATTTTCTCTGTACCAGAGCTCAACTTGCTTAGCTGTTAAATCTTGTTTTACCATCAATGTTTTGTTTTATACATTTTTTTTTTGTTTGTTTGTTTTCAGGAGAATATTTCAGACCAGGTGTCGGATTTAAGCAAAGACTGGATAAGGAAGATCTCCTCATTCAGTGTGCTCCAACCCTCTGAAAGGTCAGCAACATAATGATTCACCTGAACAGGCCATTCTGTCTGTAAAACATTTTCCACAGAGCTCCAGTGAGTCAGAAAGRAAAACCGTGGTGTGACGTACGTTTTGGTAATTATAAACCTTTCAGTGGCAGTCATGTTCTCTGTGGCTGGATTTCGGGCTATGAGGCAGAGTATATGGAGAAACTTCCTGAGGAGGAAATCAGGCGTTCTATCACGGAGCTCGTCCACGTCTTTACAGGTGAATCTAACTTCTGATCAGACAAAAAGTAGAACAAGCTCAAACATTCGTGTTAAATCCAAAATACATATGTTCATACAAGTTATGTTAAAAAAGGAAACAACCAGAACCACCAGATTCTGCATTAGTTTCATTCCACAGGCCATCAGACTGCTGAACRCARGTCACTAACAAAGTGACCGCAATGACAAACGCACATTGCCACAAACACAGTCACTTAGTCACACATGTATGAAAAATACTAATACATGTATACAACTGTACCCTCACAGATACTGTATTTATACTGTATTCATATGTATATGCAGGCTCATTTTCTAATTTTGTTTACTATAATTGTATAACCTGCTGTAATTGCACAAGAACTGCACCGTAAGTATCTAGGTTATGCATCATCACCATATTGTTGTTGAGAAATGAAATGAAATTTCATTCAYTTTTGTTTGGTAAACTGTACAATCCTGAAAGAGAATAAAGTTATTGAATTGAAATGAAAAAAGGTAGTGTGACTAAAATTACATAGTGTCCACATACTATGTGATAACTCATGTTGGTCCTGCTCAGACCACTGAAACAAACAATGTTTTCAGGACTTGAACAGCCTTTTAAAGTTTCTCAAGAAGTGAAAAACAACAACAAKAAAAAAAAAGCATTTTTGGGGCTTTGTTACATGACATTACTGTTGATATTTGTCAGCTAAAACTGGGGTGTTACAGATGGTTTTGTAATCAACAAAAAGGAAGCTCTCATAAAATGTAATCTGGTGTCTAAAATATAACATATAAAATAGAAAAAACTAAATGGGTTGAAAAATTAGACCCAGACAGAATATAAAGATATCTTTGCAGCACAGAGAGAAACCAAATTCAATTTGTCTGCGCTCCTAAACACAAAAACATGCATTTAATGGCAAAAAAAAGTGGATTTTACATGATGTTTCCTTTAATGCTGTGAACTGCCACTTCACTTATTATCTGGAGCGTGAGGAGGAAAATCCAGATTTGACAGTAGATGTTGCACAAGCTGCTCAATAGAAGTGAGGCAACATAAAAAAAACAAAGTCAAGGTCCAACGTTTTTTATTGTCATGCACAAACTGCAGGTTTTACGACAAATGGAAACAGAATGCTTCTACTTCATTATCTGTAATGAATAAATAAATATTTAATACATTTTGTGCATCTTAGCCATTGTTTTTGCTTTAATTTAATTAAATATTTGTCCTAGGTTTTGGGAGAATGGCCTGTTTCAACATACATTTTCATTTTAGGAGACCGCACCATCACGCCAAAGAGAATCGTGTGTACCAAGTGGTTTCACGATCCCTGGACCTTAGGATCCTACAGTCACCTAACTGTGGGCTGTTCTGCGCAGAACATCAGGAACATGGTGGAACCGCTGCCCAAGAGACGAGAGAAGACACAGGTGCACAGATTAAAAAAGGGGGTTGTTTGCACACAAAGGCATTTTTTAGACTGAGCTCACGCATGCAGAAACTGACAAATGTAATCTGTGCTTTTGTTTATTTGCTTCAGCCCCTGCAGGTGCTGTTTGCTGGGGAAGCAACTCATTCCTTCTACTTCTCCACAGTCCATGGAGCGCTTCTGACTGGGTGGAGAGAAGCTGACAGACTCATCTCACACTATTCTTCTAGCAGCTCCCACTCCTGAAGCCACAAAGTTAAATGTTAAATACCTGCTCAACTAATTAGATTTGTTTAATTGCTATTTTAAATGAGGCYTTACTGGAGAGTCGTCTGTTTTTTGTTTACCAATGGAGTGTCTAGCTTTTTTTCCTTCTATCACCCACCTTTACTGTAATAAATATAGGGTTCTGTAAATAGTTCAATAAAAACATGCAGGTCATGGTAGTTTCTTTAGAAAATAGTCAGCAGGCAGAGGCAAAGTTCAAAACAGGCAATATTTTCCCTGCCTTTTTTTCCCCATTGTTTTCCCCTCAGCAGGTGGGAACCTTAGGAAATTGACAGCAGGAACATCTTTACATGTTTAACTGTACAAAGTGCTAAAAGCAACAGGAAAATGGAGCTCATCAACATTTTTTTTGCATTTTGTAGACACTAAAGCTTAAGCCGCTATTGTTTGATGTGGCAAATCAACTTGTGAGAAATGAACTTTGAACTAGACCCTACTCTGATTTTAATGGGCACAAAAAATAGTGATCAATAAATCAAATGTTTTTATAATCCTTTTTTAACCACCAATTAAACACCTACAGTGCATATTCAAGATTGATCCTAGCTGGATTTGAAACAAATAATATATCTTTTTTTCAGATTTATTCAAACAAACTTTGCTAGTCAGTCAGATTAGGTGTTTTCCACAATTTAGAGAGTAAAGACTGTACTTTTTATAGATGTACGTGAAAAAATGGAAATGGAAAACCTCTAAGGATAAAAATGTAATTTGCTTGATATAAAATTTGAGAAAGAAAAATGAATGCATAAAATCAGGCAGAAATCAATAAACTTGCTAATCCTTATTTTGTTATTTTCTTGTTTTTTTTTCATGATCTGATCTATTTCAAGATGCTAAAACAAGTTGTTCCGGAAATATTTATTTAACAAAGACAGAAATACATGGTTCAAAAATAAAAAGTACTCTGTGGAATGGTCATTAGGATTTATTGCAATTGCAAGGCACACATAATGTCACACAGGGCTGTGGTACATAGAATGTGTACAATGAGGCAGTCTCAAATACACGCATTTATACAGAATGTTATCCAAAGAGACAATAAACATCTTTCCTGGTGCAGAAACTGGGCCAAGGAGAGAATGATGTTTGATAAACAGCAACATTAATTATTACTTCTAACAGATATTGTCTTGATCTTAAAACACTGTCGGAGAGAAAACAAGATAAAAACGTGGAATCAAACATGTTGACATTTTAAGGTAAGCAAAACAGGTCACTGACTTTTGACCTGAGAAGAAAGTGGGACTTCAGAGCAGTGCTTCCCAAACTTTTTATCATCTGACCCACAAAATATTCATGGCAAAAACTTGTGAAACTTGTGGTCTGAGTACACAAACTTTGTTAATAACCCTAAAAACAAAGGCTACACAAATAAAAACACTTGTTTATATTATTTTGTGTTTTTGTAATAATTACAGGGAAAATATTACATCTCCAATTATTTTATTACCCTTTAAATTGATTTCTGAAGAGGACAAGCTACAATGCAAAGTTTTATTTTGAAATTCTTGACCGGAAATTGACGCCGTCGTTCTCTAGAGAAAACGGTTTTCAGAAATTAGCGAGAAGCTTCAGGACTGTAGGAAACGAAAGAACAACACACATGGGTTTTGAGCTGTAAATATGGCTGGAAACGTGAAGATAGTGATTGTAGGCTGCGGAATAGCAGGGATAGCCGCGGCGCACAGACTCCTGAAACACGGTTTTCATAATGTCAGGATACTGGAAGCGACTGAAAGAAGCGGAGGACGAATCAAAACAGGAAAACTGGGTGAGCGACTTTACACTCAAGTCAAATACTGTACACATAAGGGCAAATAAAGGTCACAACAAAAGTTTTAACACCATCTATGTGACTGTAATCAGTCACATAGATGTCATTTAATGTTAAAGCCGCTGGATTTGAGCTGACAGATTTTTAAAGCTGCAAAAACAACACAATTTACTGACATATCTGCAGAACCAAATCACAAAGTTCTCGAAATAAAACAGTGATCTAACATGGTTATAACTGCGGAACAGGTGWAATCTTGATTACCATCACTGCACCCAGATGAAAATAAATCCATGCAAGCTTTTTGTTAAGACATGTCATCTGTGAGATTAGCATTCAGTCTGAGATGGTTTTTACTATTTATGTAAAATCAAGAAAGCCTGGATAAAAAGACACTTCTCTTTATCACACAGACTGGTCAGTTGTTCCCTTTGATCCCATTCCAACATTGTATAACTTTAACTTTGACACTGCAGTGCATGGAAATAAAAGACAATAAATGCAAACTTTGCTCTGACGAAAGTCTTATCTGTAGGTTTTTGTATTTTCCCTGAAGGAGGATGAGTTTTTATTATGAAAGCCATAAGGTTTTCAATTACTATTGCTCAAATATCTGTATGTAACTATTTAAAAATAAAAGCTTATAAAACTTGTTAAACTTTAACTGTCTCATTATTAATGCCAGTATAATTACGTTTAAGAGAAACTAAATGGTTTTGTAAATATTCATTTTTGTGTGGGCTGCTGCACACTTTATTTATATATTTTTCCTTTTTAGGTGATATTGTTATTGAGATTGGGGCAAACTGGATCCACGGCCCGTCCGAGGAGAACCCCGTGTTTTGTTTGGCCCGTCAGTACGGACTGCTGGATCCAAAGGCCCTGACCCTAGAAAACCAGTCCATAGATGTTGGAGGACACCCCCAAGGACCTCCCAATTTCTTCAGCAGTTCAGGTTGACAAGAATCCAACTCTGATCAGTTTATAGACTCTGTGAGGAATCACTAGTCCCAGTAATTATTTTAACAAATTAAATTAGGGTCTAATCAGTGCTTTTAAATAAATTTTGATTCCTTACAGCGTGCATGTGAAGTAGACATGTTGGTAAATAGCTTCTGTCGTGTGTTCAGGTCGGAAGCTGAGCGCCGAGGACGTCTTTTCAGCTCAGGAACTGTTTTATGAGCTGATGACTGAATGTTCGGAGTTTCAGGGCCAAAAAGGAGAGCCCTGTGCCAGCGTGGGAGATTTCCTACGCAGAGAGGCCGGTTTCTCTCAGTGACCAGAAAAGAAACGAATGTTTCTGCTCGCCGTCGCGGACAGATATTTCAGATTTCCTCAAAGCTCCGATGGTTTGATGATTTGATTCGTTGCTTTCCGTCTGCAGGCGAAAGAACGAGCAGCAAAGCGATGGAAAGATGTCGACCCGGCCACCAAATCTCTGCGTCTGTGTGTGATCAGCAACATGCTGAAGGTGGAGTGCTCCATTAACGGGGCTCACAGCATGGATGAGGTGGGTCTGGGGACCTTTGGCCTATACAAGACTCTGCCTGGACTGGACTGCACATTCCCAGGGTTTGTACTTTAACTCTGTGCAGCAAACTGTTACTGTGTGGCTAAATTATAAACTGCAGAGGTTTATAGTGTTGACGTGAAGCATCATTTAAAACGGATGATTCTTTTTTTTTCCCATGCAGTGGCTACGAAGGTCTAATTAAAAACTTGATGTCGGAGCTCCCTGATGGTTTAGTGTCCTACAGCCGCCCTGTTCGATGCGTCCACTGGAACGATGCGGAAAAGGCAAAAAACCTGGTGACCGTTGAGTGCGAAGATGGAGAAAGAATCATCGCAGATCACGTTATTGTAACTGTGCCTTTAGGTAAATTTATTAAATCATACAACCTAATTGATCAGTCATTTGCCTCAAACATGCTGAGTCAGCTCTTCTGAAGTATGGCCCCTTAATCGTTACTTTATCAGGATACCTAAAGAAACACCATTCAACCCTCTTCCACCCTCCTCTTCCTCTACACAAGCTGCACTCCATCCAGAGGATTGGTTTTGGGACAAACAATAAAATATTTGTGGAGTTTGACTCGCTGTGGTGGGATCCTGACTGTGAGATCATCCATCTGGTGTGGGAAGATGAGGTGAGACGAACACTTTCACTTACATTCTTTGAAGAAGCACAGTTGTTTAAATAGTGAATGTCTCTTTTGTCTCCCATCACGATGCAGGATGCTGTGGTGGATCAGATCCCAGATCTGCAGAGGTCCTGGATAAAGAAGTTGGTGGGCTTCACTGTGCTCAAACCCACTGAAAGGTCAGAGGTCACGGTACTGATACCCGGCATCGTTTTGCTGTCGTTAATGGTAAATAATAGTGTTTTTGGTTTACATTTCAGGTATGGCCATGTTCTGTGTGGCTGGATAGCGGGACATGAGGCAGAGTTTATGGAAACTCTGTCTGAACACGAGGTCAGACGTGAAATGACACAACTGATTCGCAGGTTTACAGGTGAGTCGTAACGATGAACCTTTATGATAGATTTGGGCTCAAGCAGTGAAGCTGCACGTCATTTTATTCTTTCATATACCAACTGTTTTCTTTTGCTGTTACAAACTGTTTAAATGGTTTGTCTCTTTTAAAATGTGTTAAAATGGTTTGTCTCTGTTACTTTTGTTTTGTTCATAACTTTGATTTTTTTTTGTTATATGAACCTATTCTAGAAAAAAGGGGCAGATATAAGATTTTTTTCTTGTCTCTGCTGCCTTTCATTTCATTTTATTTGTGATTTTGATATACATATTTTTATTTCTCTCATTTTTTCTTTTTGTTGTATAATGTATATAAAATTGTTTGTTTTGCTTTAATGAAATGAATAAAGATATGAACTTATTCTTGTGGAAAAAAGGGGCCGATATAAGATTTTTCTTCTCTCTGCTGCCTTTCATTTCATTTTATTTGTGATTTTGATATACATATTTTTTTTTCTCTCATTTTTTCTTTTTGTTGTATAATGTATATAAAATTGTTTGTTTTGCTTTAATGAAATGAATAAAGAATTGAAAAAAATAAAATAAAAGATCGTCTCACCTCCCTGGCATAGTCATATGCCATGATGAGCTGCTTGGGTTCTGGTTTCTGGACAATGTTGTTACTGTCCAGGTACCTGAGGTCCATGGCTCTCTTCCAGTATTTTAAAGCTCCGAGCAGATCTCTTTTCTTGTCTACAAAAGTAGCTCCCAACAGCTCCAGGGCGTCAATGCGCTCCGTGTGTCTCGTCTGTAGAACCAAGAACGTTATTTTTTTCTTTCAATAATCAATTGAATTAATAAACATTACAAGCTTTTTCAGATGTACAAGTTTGCCGTGACGAATAAAGTCCAACCTGCACGTGTGTCGTCAAATAGTCTACGATGTTAGTGTGGCCTGTAACGCTGGCAGAGAGGAGGGGAGTCATGCCGTAGCCATCCTGTTCCATGGTGGCGCCGTACTGCAGCAACATCCGCATGATCTCCAGGCTGCCCGACTCTGCGCAGTCATGGAGCGCTGTGTTGCCTGCGAACAACCAACGCAAACCGTTACAGTACGAGAACAGAGGATTTACTATGTCCCAAATCAATAACAACAGCGTGACTGCTCAGGAGGAGTCGGATTTTCCAGTCAAATTAAAGTGGTCTCGACAAAGTGACAATGGAGTTTTTTTAAATTGCCTTTGTTCATTTTGAAAAACCAAAAAGAAAAAAATTGTATAGGTCTTCTGGACGGGTTCTTCTCTAACGAAACGTTTCGTCTCTCCTCCAAGAGA